AGCATGAGGCCCAGATAGATGATGTAAGATCCCCAGATCACACATTGCCCGAGTGCCTAAAAGAACAACCTCTTTTTCTTTTTTTTTTTTCTTTTTTAGAATTTAGGGGTTTTATTTAGAAGTTAATTTGACCAAATTTTAAACTCATAATCTCCAGGGTACACTATCCTCATCCCATGTGAATATGCCTTTTGTCTTGGAGAATAACAGTTTCTCAGGGCGTCAGTCCCACAATAACTCTAACCCTCTGGGTTTTTTCTATGCCCCTCCCAAATGCAAGAGTTGAAGATTCTAAAAACAGAGGAAGGAAAAACACTAGATGGTGAAGATGTTGATGATGATGATGATAATAACAAAACAGCCCTGTAACTTCTAAACAAATCTTAGTAGAGAAGCACAGTCCAGTGGCCAAAGTTACCACAAAATCATTCTGGTCTTATTTGGATTTCTCGAAGCTCACAGGACTCTCTTTCCTTTCACCCTCTCACTCACTCTCCTCTCCCCCGACCCGTCCTTCCTGAAGTCCTATCTTGACCTTCACTGTGCTTTTCCCTCCCACTTTCACTCCACTTTTCCAGTCCTGCCTTCCAGCCCACCACATCTGAACTGATTCTACACACTTCACCTAAGTAAGCTGTCCTCAGCCCCCTTCAAAGCTCCAGAGACAGACTGTGGCTCAGAAAGATTCACTGCTGTGTTACTTGCTGCTCAGGGCAACCCTGGAGTGAAACACTAGCCCTCTGAAGCTCTGCTCCCATGCCTTTCTGTCTGTATCCCTCTCATGTGCCCTACTTATACTTTGCATCAATGTTCTTTGCCCAATTTGGGTTATGTAAACCTCAAATGGTGCATTTTTAAAATTGACTCCTTGATGTGAAAGCTGTCAGGAGCCAGCCCTTCTAGATTTCTCCCTAAAACTGTACCTGACACAGAATAGCTCCAGTAAAACGCAATGACATTAACTCAAACTTGCAGTAACACAACACCTATAATCAATGTCAACCATAAGATATGGCTGGACACTTTGGGTGGATCAGCATGAGAGGTATTTCCAAGAACACTAACATTCTCCATTCAATCCATGGTAGCATCTTGACAGCTTGGGCCTTCTGCATCTGGATCATTTCTGTTGCTTGCCAGCTCTGCTGACTCTGGGCACATTTCTTAGACTTTTTTTTTTTTTTTGCCTTAGCTCCTATTTAGATAAAATGGGCATGTGCTAGGACCTTTGACACAGGGTATGTGGGAATTAAATGAGCTAATTCTTATAGCCTTTATAAGGGTTTTTGGAATATAGTGCACACTCAATGAGTATTAGTCATGTCTGTGGCACAGAAAGAGAGAGAGAGAGAGATCTTGTATGCACACATAAGTTGTAATCTATATGCATGTAATATATATATACATATATATAGTGCATATGTGCATATAACCTGTTTTCTTTATTTTCTATTTAGCTTTTAATCATATACTATCTGTGCTCTACTTTTCAAAATGATTTACTAAACAGCTTATTTTTTGAAATTATTTAATTTCTATTTTTTCTTTGTTAAGTAAAACCGGCTCATTGTAAATGTAGGCAATAATTTATTCAAATTTACCCATTAGTGAACAAAATTCAGGCTTATTTTGGGAATAAGAGTACAAAAGAAGTTTTCAAAGAATCAGAAGCTATGGAGCAAAGACAAAAAATGAAGACCTCCTATTTTTAAATTAATTCTTGCCTTTCTTTGCTTTCCTTAAATGGGGATAGGGGTGTTTTGGGCAAGCAACTAATCCAAAAATCCATTTTGAAGCCTATATACTTCAGTATCTGTAATAGGTTTGTTTACTCTAACTGAAAAATAATATTGCTTATCAGCAGCAGGCCTGTAAAGTGTTCTTCAGAGATTATTATCTTCTTGATATGAGATCAACATGTCACACTTGAGATAGAAAAGTCCTTCTATAATGTCCTTGCAAAAGGGTTAAATGGGATAGATTTAGAACAGTTAAATGGAATAGATTTAGAAGCATATTCAGACAGGACTTTCATTTTTAAGTATTTGGCAGTTTATCATGCAACTGAATTTATTTCTCAAGTCTAAGCAGCTTATATTTGTCTACTAGTTCATGACTTGTTATTAGATATGATATTGTATACTATCATTATTACAATAAATGTATTCATCAATATTGATTCATCAACATCAATAACCTGCATGCCACATGTAACTTTATGATGTTTTATATACAGCCTGTCTCCTGATTTATAAATTGCTTGCTTGCTTCTTTGACTTCTTAACTGCTCTAAAAGCAGGGTAGGACTTCAGAGGTATTTTACTTCTGCAGGTGTTTTAAGGCAGTGGATAAAACCTCTCAGACAGAAAAAGGGGATTTCCTTTGTAACATGCTTGGAAGCTTTAATGACAGTTTGGGAAAAAGATGTATACATGAATAGTTTTGCCCCACTTTCTGTTACCTCTCCGACATATGGCTACACTTCTACAAGAAAATTCCAAGAAATCCTATAGGGTACTGCCCAGAATTTAGTAGTAGTGGTTTAGTCACCGAATCCTGCTGACAAATCTGAAAATGTAGCTCTAAAATTGAGACAACGCAATATCACTGCATACTAGAATTATCTGGAGAGCTTCTGAAAACCCCAGTTCCCAGGGCATAACCCTCAGCATTGAAATCAGAGTGTCTAGGGGTGGGTCTCGGGCATTGCTAAGTTTTAAGAAACGCCAGCATTCAGGAACTTTGGAAGGCAGGCTTAACATCTCATAACTATCTGTGCTGAATAAACTTTGCATCCTCTACCTTTCATATATAGGAAAGTACTTATTTCTTTAAAATCTTGTAGTTCAAAAGATTTGCTAGCTGATTTCACTTTCATTGAATTTCTTCAATCCCCAGAGTACACCTAAGAGGCTGGTGGTGGTCTCTCTCTACTGCATTTTTTTTAAAGATTTATTTATTTATGCATACAAGAGCTGGGGTACAGGCCAGAGATGCAGGGGGTGAGAGGATTCACCAGAGACAGAGTGGGGAACAGAAAAGGCAGACTGACAAAATACACTGCTGAGGGGAGCAGCGGGCGAGACAGGAGAGGTCTGCTGCGCCTTGTGGGTTGCTCCCTGGCTGGGGATTGAACTCGTGCTGCAGTAGTTGCCAATTGCTTCATAGTGCATTGCTTAACCCCTTGCACCACCAGGGAGGCCCCATCTCTCTACTGTATTTGACTAGCTTTCATTACTTCAGCAAAATCTCACAGCTAGTTAAAGGGTGAAGTCAGATTTGGAAGGGAGGTTTGGCTCCCTGTAAAGGTAGGTTTCCCCTGCAATTCATATGCCTCATTTTCCTGGTCTCACAAATTCTACTGTTTGTGCTACTTTTACTGGTGATGTAATCTCCCTTCCCTTTGCAAGCATCAGGTGTTTCCAACTTTATTGTCTGCAAGGCAGTAAGTCACCACCTGTATAATTATGGAAGACAGAATTGGAAAAGACATATGAGGATTATTAGTTTATTTATTCCCTGCTGATAGGGAATTTTTTATCTTTCTTTCTGATACCAACATGAAAGGGCACCAGTGTGATGCAGTATACATTGCTGCCTTTTTATTCCCCTGGATACTTTCACAAGTATGTTCTTACTTTGCACTCACCATGTTTTTGAGATTGGTGTCATTGTTACTCTCTTTTATAATTGAGGCAATAAGGCTCTGAGATTCCTCCAGTCGACCAGACCTGCGAGGTGGCCATGGGATCTAGATGAGTCTTGCCCTTGCACATACCCATGCCACCACCCTTCTCTCCTTCTCTCCTGTTGGCCTTAGTCCCTGACTATGAGGAGTAACCTGCCATTAGTGTCATATTTTGAAAATGAGTCCTAAAATAGATGGTCCCTGGGAGAAGGCTTGGTGTGGCTCACTGGATGTGTGGAAAGGATTATGGATGTCACCATGAGATCCACAGAGGCACCCTGTGTTCCATTTCAACAGAAGTGTGGTTGCATCTGTGCTTCATTTTGTCTGTGCATTAAATTAGAATAAGGAACCAGGCCACACTCTCAAAGAAAGGGCCAAGGGCTGGGAAGGGCAAACCATGGAGGGAGTAGAAGCAACAAACTTCCCTGCCATGGGCAGGATAGAGGGGTGATGTTTCTCTTTCTCCCTGCAGGGCAGGCAGAGCAATCTGAATTCCACAAAATGTATTGTTTGAGTGATTCTCGTGTTTCTGATGTAATGTGTTCTTTGAAAATACAGTTTAAATCTCACTTTTCTGTAGCAATTCTTGGTTGAAGCGACATAGCAGCACATAGAACTGAGGCCACAGAAGACCCAAGAGTTCAGCCTCTCCCTCAGAAAATGATCCATGTAAAGCACTTTGAATGCTATAGAAATAGCAAGATAGTATTCTTCACGCTCCTCTGAACTACCTTTTCTTTTGGATGGTTTGTTTGTCTCTTATGGTGAGGCTTTCATATCCACACTGAATGAGCTTTTCCATCATTTCCAGGCTTTTCTGGTGGGAAAAGGAACAGAAGAAGTCGAAAAGTGTAACTAAACTAACCAGGCCAATGTTTGTTTACTTTTGTGCAATTTTAGGAAATTATGTGAACTCAGTAATACAGTATATTAGTGATGACTAGAATTGTCATTTAAGAAACAGTTGTATGTCTCCTAATACTGGAATCAGCATTGCAGAGTTCTCATGAACGGGCTGCTGTTCTATGAGAAACATATTTCTGCCTTCATTATGAAACAGAAATCAGCAGTGACTCCTGTATTACTCCAAAGAATAGAAAAACATGGACTTGAGATAAATTTCTTCTATACTAGAGGAGAGCTATTAGCTACACATCTGTTCCCTTTCTTGTTCAACAGCCTGATACCCACACCTTACAGCAGACTGTGTCTCCATTTGTATTTTCATATTTGGGTACTGGTGACCACCGTTATATCATAAACTCATTTTAATTTCCTCTCTTTCCCCTCCTTTAACTCTTTACTTTAGAACTGCAAATATTCCAGGATATACTGGTAAGGTTCATTTCACAGCCACTCACCCAGCAAATTCTGATATTCCAGCAGCAACCCCATCTTCAGATTCAGAAGTGCACCAGTAAGTATGAATCCTGTTATATACTGCATTTAGATACATTGGGGAAGGGGGAGGTAAGGATCCTCATTATAGTTAGTCCTTTAAAAAATAATTATTTAGAATAAATTTACATTGTTCAATATATATATATATATAGTCAAATATAAATATATATATAATTATATATATAGTCAAATCAAAAAGACAGAAGATTTCATTTTCCCAATGATGTTTCCTAAAGGAGCATACGAAGACACTTAAAACGTATTAGGTGAACAGCATCTTTATCTCACAACCTTTGCACACATATCAGCCTTTGCATTATCGTCAGACATGGACACTGCTTAGATGCATGGATTACATGAGACACACACTTACTTCTGTGAATAACCACTTTGTTTTTTATAAAAGACAAAATTCTGTCGAAAGTCATATGTATTTTTAAGTACCATTTTTGCAAATCAAAAATAGGAGACATTAGAGAGAAGGTTATTGAAGACTTCATTATATGAAGTTGCTAGTAAGAAGCAGCACATTACTGTTCATTATAACTCAAATTTGAAAGCATTTGATGGAAGTCTTGGCCTCGCGAATAAAATGACACAGTTTTGAAAATGAAAATGCAGATTTAACCAGGTCTACATGCTGGCCCAGTGCAAATAAATCAACTGTCCTAGTAATCGGTGTGTAGGAGCATTGGGGGCAGGGGTAGGGGTGGGTGAGGCACAGCTCCTCACAAAAGGGTGCCTTTCTCTTATATCACATTCTCTTAGTAAAGAAGTCATTCTTTACCAAACATTGATGAACCTGCATCTGGCCCAGGTCCTGTTCAGGACAGTGAACACAGAGTTGAATACAAAAGATACCTCTTCTCAGGAGCAAATGTTCTGTTGTGAAAGACAGATGATGATGAAGTACACAAGTAACTGCACAACTAGATCAGTTCTGGAGACTGACATGCTATGGAGCAGCAAGTCATGGAGATACAGTAGAGAGAGCTCAAGAGTAGGGAGGACATTCTGAGGAGGTGGCTTTGGCCAGAGTCAGAGTTCCTGCCCCAATGGACTTCTGAAATGTTGCAAAAGACAGCAACTGGATTTTTGAGCTAGGTTTCAATACATACAGTTGTTCATTAACTCATTCATTCATGAGTATTTTTCATTACTTCATCTATTTTTTTCATTGGGTCAACAAATGTGTTTTGTACTCCAGGAATTCATAAGAAGTAGACCCAATATGTGAGGAGCTCACAGTCTGTAAGAAAGAAATATAAACAACTGTAGTAGTGGATGACAAATATCATAAGTCCATATATCCTAAGTCCTCACTTACCTTCACGGATAGGTTCTCAGAAACGGGCTTTAACAAAATAACAGGTCCTTGGCCTCATTTTGTCCAATGTTTGTTGGAATTTTTTTTCTCATCCATATTATAACAAAATTACATTGAATGAAGTGACGTTATTTCAGGATCTACTATGGTCACATATGTTGGCCCAGTACTTCCCATTTGGAATGTACTAACTCATTTCACCATCCTGGTAACCTTTCCTTCTAAGGAAGGTACAGTTGTTATCCCACTTACACATGAGGAAACTGAGGCACACACAAGCTACCGTGGATCTTCATGGAGGCACTAATAAAAACCACACGGAGGAAGCGGTTCACACAGGACACTGGTGAAGTAGGACATTGGGTCTCATGTATTTGAAGGCAAGGGTGCCTGTGGACAGGGTCCTGCTTACCCAGGGGAGGCCATAGAAACTGCCCCTCATCGTGCCACCTGGAATCTCAGAAGGGTGGCTTTTAGGCTCCCTGCTAGTCTCTGTGTGTATAGTGTTTGCACCTTTTTACAGGGTTGTGCATGAGGCTGTTCCAAAGACAATGATGAGAGGGAAGAGCAGCTGCCTGCTGACAGGACTTTACCAACTTCTCTAAAGTTGGAGTTTGATAATTATCTAGAATCTCTAGCCCACGTATGAAAAATATTTTTTTTTAAAAAAAGTCATTGATTTTGTAGGCTAATATTTTGCCTAGAAACTTTTGAGGAAAAAATCATTTTTCTCTTGGGCCTTCCCTGGTGGCGTAGCAGTTGAGCACTTCATTCCCCAGCCGCCAGCAAGGGTCCCACAAAAAAAAAAAAAATTCATTTTTCTCTTAAGACACATTTTATTTATTTATTTATTTTTTTAAAGGTTAATAAAAGGTTTATTTACAAGGGAAGGGCAAATGAGGAAATGTACAACTCAGGGAGAAAAGTGGGAGACAAAGTTTTAAATGTGTCCTACCCGATCCACCGATCTGAATCCCAAATGGCACTCTCTGAGAGCTGGCCGCAAGCCAGGAGCCGTGAAGCCAGTAGGCCAGTGAGAGCAAGAGACCCCAAGGCCCACGTGTCTGGTTTTTATACCAAACCTGGCTCCTTAACTCCACTCTCAGGTCCCAGCCACCTTCCCTTTGGTGGTGACAGGATTTGTCTTTCCCAATGTCTTGATGGCTATGGTCTGGAGTGGGGGTGGAGTCCACAAAGCCTGCATGGAATTAGCTCAGGACATCCTTTCCCCCTAACAAACTCACAAACTCTCCTGAATATATAAATAAACCAAGTTTTTTGAAATGAGAGTACCAAGTAGTATTAAACTACCAACTTTCTAGTTAATTTATAGTTTTTTTCTTTTATTTAAATTTTATTTTTATATTCCCCATACAATTACAACCGCCTTATTTTGACCCCAATCCCTCCTTTCCCCGCCCCCCACCCCCCATAGAGTGTCTCTGGTTCATAGTTGTTTGTTGATTTTGATATTTTCTTTCTTATAGTTATTCTTTTTCCTGGTCCCTTATTTAAGTTTTCTAGATTCCTGCTATGAGTGAGACCATCCAGTAATTTTCTTTTTCTTTCTGGCTTATTTCGCTGAGCATGATCCCTTCCAGCTCCATCCATGTTGCTGCAAATTGCATGTGTTTATCTTTTTTGAATGCTGAGTAATATTCCATGGTGTATATGTACCACATCTTCTTGATCCAGTCATCTATTTTTGGGCATTTGGGTTGTTTCCAAAGATTAGCTATTGTAAACAGTGCTGCTATAAACATAGGGGTGCAGGTGCTCTTTGGAATTGATGTTTCTGTGTCCCTTGGGTAAATACCTAGGAGTGGAATTGCTGGATCATATGGAAGCTCTATGTTTAGTAGGTCAAGAAATCTCCACACAGCTCTCCATAGTGGTTGGACCAGTTTGCACTCCCACCAACAGTGCAGGAGAGTTCCTTTTTCTCCACAACCTTGCCAACATTTGTTGTTGCTAGTTTTTTTAATATGTGCCATTCTCACTCGTGTAAGATGGTATCTCTTGGTAGTTTTGATTTGCATTTCCCTGATGACAAGTGATGTTGAACATTTTTTCATATACCTGTTGCCATTTGCATTTCTTCTTCAGAGAAGTTTCTTTTTAGCTCTTCTGACCATTTTTGACTGGATTATTTTCTTTGTTTTTTTTGAGTCTCATCAGCTCTTTGTAGATTTTTGTGATCAGTCCTTTATCATTAGTGTTGTGTGCAAAAATGTTCTCCCAGTCGGTGGGGTTTCTCTTTGTTTTGGTTATTGTCTCTTTTGCTGTGCAGAAGCTCTTTAATTTGATGTAGTCCCAGCTGTTTATCTTTGCCTTCACTCTTTCTGCTTTGGGTCATGTGTCTGTAAAGATGTCTTTGATGTGCATATCATGTAGTGTTCGCCTATATTTCCTTCTATGTATTTTATGGTTTCAGGTTAAGATACATTTTAAATGTCATAAAAAACACATTTCTAAATACAGGATTAGTAAAAGTTTAGAAATTTGATGTATTTTAATTCATGTGAAGGATCTGAAAAGACAGTGTTAAAATTAGATGCAAATTCATAACTGTCATTTATTTTTTAAAGATTTATTTATTTCTGCATACAAGAACTGGGGTGTAAGCTAGAGGGGTGGGAGTGAGGAGAGAGATTCACTAGAGACAGAGTGGGGAGCAGAACAGGCAGATCTACTGAAATATGCTGCTGAGGGGAACAGCAGACGAGACAGCAGAGGTCTGCTGCGCCTCGTAGGTTGCTCCCTGGCTGACCAGGGATCGAACTCATGCTGCAATGGCTGGCAATAGCTTGATAGTAGTGTCTTTAACCCCTTTGACACATTGTGTCTGGCAGGTGAGTGATTGAGAAGTGATCCTACTCAACAATATTTCCTCAGTGCAGATGGGAACATTTCCAATGCCTCATTGTTCTCCCTCTCAATCCATTCTCTCGCCCTATACATCTCAGTTCTCATCCCCGACATTTGTTGGTTTAGCACATTTCCATGCCATGTGATTTGGCTACCAGATTACTTCAAAGAAATCTCTATTTCTCAAAGGAAAACTATCCTCCAGATACTACTACTGCTAGTACTATTACTACTGCTGTTGCTACTAGTTACTACTGTTTACAAGGTTACTACCATTACTACTTGAAAAAATAAAAAAAAAAACAAAACTGCACCTTTGACAACATGCTCATAGCTAGATTGCTTATTTCTTATTGCCCATGATCTCCTCCTTCCCCCACTACACACTGATCTGCTATCTGTTATCCAAGAGTGGGGACAAGAAATCTTCTGGAGTTCTGATTCTTAGGGTAAACATGGGTTCTGGAAATAGAGTTAGTGGCAGCATCCCCAATGTCACCCCAACTGACAGCATTGTGTTGCATCAGGTGCCCACATTTCACTCCTAGATTCACCCCAACACCTGCTGATGACAAGAGGTCAGCAGGGAGAAAAGCACAGTAGGGAGATGCATTGTCCAAAGTGTTTTGTTAGCAGGAAGGCAGTGAGTGGCCTCTGTCCTGCCCCTATGCTGTAACCAGAGAAAATCAGGACTTGGAAAATCTTCATCATGAAATATCACCTATGATTTTTTCTGACACCAGGGTGGGATTTTTGCCTAACATTTTTCAGTAGCAGTAGGAATCTAGATCTCTGATGAATATCATGAGAACTTGGTAAGGTAACCTGACTTCCTCCTGATAATGTCTATCTGACTTGATACATTTTTTCCTGTTGTTTCTGAAACATCTGTATATGGGCTTATCCTGGGCACTTCTGAACACTTGGCTCTGTGTACACCCACTGTGACTCTGGAATGTACCCTCTTTGCTCAGAGTCTGTGCCATTTCCCATGGGCCCCTACTTGGACTTCGCCACTCCTCCCATCAGGTCCCCCTCAGCAGACTGGTTCATTTTCTGTCACTGGACATCCAAACTGACTCTTCTTCCCCTCCCCCACTCCACAATCTGTACCTCTGCCAATACTTCTGTTTCTTCTTCTCCTCCTGGAAAAATGGGTTTTCACTTTCCTAAAGTGCCTGTGCTTCCCTTTGAAATCTTGACCCTCTCCTTCTTCTTCCTGCTTTCTGTGAAGAAGCCCAGCCAGGTTTTCCTATTGTCTGAGTCAAAGTTATTCCCCCCTGACCTGCCATCCTGTTTCTCTACTCTCCTTCCTTCAACTATAAATGTTCTTAAAAAGAAAACTACCAATCCTCCTTCTCCCCTGTCTCCACATCCTCCCAGTCCACCCTTGCCATGAATTCTGCTACCACCAATCAAAGGAAACACTGCTACCTGCAAGATCCTGTATGGTACCCTTGGAGCCCTTCATGTGGAGGACAAGAAAGAACATTTACTGGAAACTTTTTGGTTGACAGTCCAAAGTTTTGGTTTCAGGTTGAGTCTTGTAGGTTTCAAATGTTAATGCAAAGGGGTTGGGGCTGCATAGCCTACAATATATTTTGATTGGCATGTGCAAGACTCCTGTGTCTTGGGGCTGATATTTTAAATAAGCTGTAGAATAGCAAGGAAAGAGGTTTTCAGAAGAGATCTAAGGAGAGGAAGTGCAGGTGCAGATGGTAGAAGGGATAGTGTGGATCTCTGAATTTGTAATAAGACACATTCAGAGGTACCTCCCTCTACTCCTGTTTCCATCCCAATGGAATATCTAGCATTCTTCGTATCCCCTCCCACCAGAATGCAACCTTCACCAAAACCTGAGTTCTCACTTCCATGGCCATTTCCCACAACATAAAACAAATGTATTACTTCATGATCATCATAGCATGAAAGCAAAGCCATTTTGGATTTGGTTGCTTTGTGTTTTGTAATGCACAGGGACATTGCATTCTCTGTGAATGATTCAAACAGCATAAGATTTACAGAAAAGTTGTTGCAGGCAGTTGTGGGTTCAAGAAAGTTGGGTTCAAACAGTGCTGGAAAACATCATTTTTAGAGTAATACACATTCCACAGTGATTTTCTTTCAGCTCTCACAACAAGCTCGGGTAGTTGTTATGCTCCCTGGATAGATGAGCAGACTAAGACATGTGAGGTTAAGAGCAGTCAGCTTAACCCCCACTACAGGGTGAAATTATGCTCAGTCCTGCACATGGCTGGACTATCCCATCCTGCCCCTCTATCATGCTTCCTCTTCAAGTTCTCCCTACATGCTCCCTGTCCCCCCCCCACATATACCCCATACCTCTTCTTGCCTATATCTCCTTGTTTTCACCATTACCTAACTCTGCCCTGATCTGGACTCCTGGTGGATCACCATTCCAGGCTCAGAGAGGTGGGCTTCTTCATACCCTCAGCACAACTCAGATTTTATTTAGCTGCCACTCTATAAACTCACCTCCCTTCAGCTGTGTTTTCTATATTCTAGGCACAGAGTAAATATTCAATGAAAGAAACTGCAATATAATGCATGTAATGCAATAAATGGAACTGAATGTAAATGAATGAAAGAAACAATCTGTAAAAAGATTAATCATTACCAGTGCCTCTCTGTTTCTGTTATGTGTCTCTGTCTCCCCATATCATCTATCTCTCTCCCTCCCACCCACTCCCTTCTCCCTCCATATGTACACATGTATTATTAATTGAGGCATGGATGAGACTGTATGTTTCTATGTCATTTTTTTCTTTTATTTCTACTCTGTTATAGCATCCTACGGAAAGAAATGGAATTTGACCTCTTTCATCGTCAGGCACCGCTGTCTCGAATGGTCACAACTGTCGGACCCTACAATCCCTTCAATAAGAAGGAAAAAGAAACTGTAGTCTACTGAAAAAGAACTTCAGTCTCTAGGAAGGCATTATGGAGAGTACAATGGGGAAATAAAAGGTTTGGGCATTTTTGAGTGTGTCTGTACATTTTGGATGACAAAGAACTCTTTTTTGTCTGCAACAGAGCATCCTGCAGCCCAGCTTCAGCCCCTCACATGTCCTGATACCAGAATGCCACCATTCCATAATGGCCACCAAGATCTTCTGAAAGTTAACAACAACAGTGGTTTATTTTATAATATCCCTCCTTAGAGTTGGAATGCCAGATCTACCTAGAAGTTTCATGTCCTGACCTCCTTAATTCAGGTATTATAACTGTGGAGTACAGATCACAGATTTCATGGTCACAGATTATCTGGTCAAATGTATTTATGGGCTGTAGGGGATTCCTCAGCCTCCCAAATGTTGTTATACTGGTATACACATAAATTATATATATATATATATATATATATATATATATATATATATTAAGATTTATTTATTTATTTATACAAGCACTGGGTACAGTCAGACGCACGGGAGGGTGAGAGAATTCACCAGAGCCAGAGCGGGATGCAGAGCAGGCAGAAGGACCGAAGTACACTGCTGAGGGGAGCAGCAGGCGGCAGGAGAGGTCTGTGCGCCATGTGGGACCCTCCTCCGGTGGCCGGGGAGCAGCCGGGGATTGAACCGGAGCTGCAGAGGCTGCGGGCAGCTTCGCAACTCAGCGCTCAACCGCTGCGCCACCGGGGAGGCCCTAAATTTTATATTTCTATACAGATATTTTGGATCCTGATAGAGTTTATGAAGTGCTCTCCTAAACCTCAGCTCAGTAAATATTTTTTCTATTTTGTAAATATGAAGATTGAAGCTAAGAGTGTAAAGTATTTATCTAAGGTTACTCAACTAGTATTTAGGAAAGTTAGAGCTAGAACTCAATTTTATATTTTGATATTGTACTTTAGTCTCCCTTGTTGCCACAAAATGAATAACTTTCATTGACTTATTAAAAAAGGAAACAAACAGTAATAGGAAAAAAAATTTAAAACCCAAATCTTTTCTGTGTTTCTAGACTTTTCAGAAATGTTTCTTAGGGCTTCTACCTTATTTCTTCTCCCAAGTGATACAGAATGAGGTCGTGAAGCCAAAGAACTCCAAGCACATGTGTAAATCCCTTGGGGGTAGTTTTGTTAGTGGGGCAGACTGAGGGGTACCCCAGACCCCCAAACCTGCTTGCTCTAAATAGGTTCTGCCATCCACTGCATAAAGACAAACATATTTTTAGTGCATAACACCTTCAATAAAAAAGGACTTGAATAAAATTAGTGTGCAATAAAGAAAAGATAAAGAAAATAGTTAAAATAATTTCCAATTAAACACCCCAAATTACCCATCCCTTCATGAGTAAATGCCCAGCTAAACAGGGTTGGCCCAATGCGGACCTCTGAGGTCCAAAAGTTTGCCACATGTCTAAGACACCTTATGGTGGGGAGCCATAGGAGAGGAGCAGAAGGGGGCAGGCAAGTCTGGAAGGAAAAGAACAAAATCAAAACCCAAGTCAAGAAAAAGGCTGTCATTTTCAGCCTCCCAACGGGTCTCTCAGCCGCATCTGTCTCTTTCAAGTGTCTACATCCACATCCCCCAAGTCCCTGGTACAAGTCCAAGGCTGAGAAGTAAGTACAGCTTCTTTACATGTCTCTCTGCTCCATGTGCCTCCAGCAGTCTTATTTTTCTTTTCTTCCCCCAGTTTTCTCCTTGGGTGAGGGCAGGAAACCTGGAACTTGCTCTTTCTATGGATAGCACACTGTTACAATTTGACTCTGCTCATTCTTCTGAAAGAGAAATATAATATATTTTGGTTTTGGAATTATAACTGGAGCCTCACAGTGTTGGGCAAGAGTGGTTCTTCTTCACTGCCAGTTAAACAGAGGGAGCTGTTGGAAAATTGGTGTAGGTTTTCCACCTGCACAAAGTCGCTGCCTGTAAGCAGCCTGTCCTTTAGTGCTCAACCCCAGAGTGCTGCTTATGGGCAGTGCAAGTGGCAGCCAGTGGTGGGTATTTTACTGTCAGCCACCAGTGGCCCCACTGGGGCTCAGGTTGCAGGCAGAGACCAACAGTGATGGTGGATGGCAGTGGTTACCTACCATGCCTCCCCAGGGCATTCAGTGCCTTGGTCAGGGCTGCATGGGGCCTCACTGGGCCAGTTCATCACTGTGGTGATCTCCAGCTGAAGTCTGTTAGTAGCCCAACAGAGACCAGGCCAAGATGGTGGGGTTGCAGCATAGCCTACCTCGCAGTGCTGCTGCAGGCTCCCTGGGCTTTACAGTTATATTTGGTGCTTGGATTATAGAATGGACCAATGAAATGTGAGCTTTGAGCTAATTGGTGTGGTCCAATTAGAAATCCGATTGAAAATGGTCAAATCAGACTGTTGGTGGGAAACCCTGAAAGAGGATATAAGGCAGAGCAGGAGCCAGCTTGGGAGAGAGCCTGTTCCTGGCCTCTGAGGAAAGAATGAAGGTTCTTCCTCGAAAGAAGAAAGCAGCAGCATCCAGCAGCTGACCTCCAAAGAAAGAAGAGATGCCAATGAGTTTTGCAGAGGCAGGGGCTGCATCTGGCCCTGCCTCTGATGTCACCTGAAAGGAGCACCAAAAGCCCTGGGCCTGGTATCTCAAGGAGTTGTTTGTTGTTGGTGTTGGCCAACAACTCAAAAAGAACTGCAACACTGGTGTTACTGACATTGGTGGTGTCCTCCTGGTGACCAGTGCTGCCTAGCACTGTTGAGGTCGCATCACTTTTGCAAGCTGTTAACATGTATGGAACTGTGAGAGCTGTTGATCCTCTGGAACCACCTCCTAGCACTGTTGCTTCCATTGTTGTCTGACCCAGCGTCTATGCTGTCCATCCTGACTTTCCCACTGTTGCTTTGGGCTACAGCATCCCTTACCTGGGAGCACCTCCAGTGTGATGAGTTGCATCCCGGCCTGCTGCTTGCCAGTATGCCATGAGATTTAGGCCTTCACTGATGGGACAGCAGCATCTTAAATGAGCTACCTTTTGTTTGGGACCTTTCGACACTGGACACTATCTGGGGTGAGATAGCCAGTCACTTGTGGCCTCAGAAACTACTTGTTTCCCCTGTTCATTAAATAAACCTCATTGTTGTTATTCCCTGAAACTGAGTAGTCTTTATAATTTTGCATGTGGGTGAAAACCTGTCCTCTATCTGGCCACTGTACTTTTGACACTATAGCTCCCCTGCTTCAGAATCAAGTATTTCCTTAAACCTGTCCTGTACCTGGCCACTGTACTTTTGACACTATAGCTCCCCTACTTCATAATCAAGTATTTCCTTTATTGACATCCACAAACTTCAGACTTTCCCTGTGTACCACAATTCTGTCAGGACCAAGGGGAAGGGCATGTAGCTATCCATCCAGAGGAATGACTTCATCTGAACACCATCTTCTTTTCTAATTCAGAGAGAACAATTATGTAAAACAAAAACAAAAAAAGCAAAACAATAATCTCACCTCTGGAAAATTCTCACCCAAATACAAATGGAAGGTTTAACCCTGTCCAGGCAGTAAATTAATGAAAGTATCTGAGATTACATTTTGTAGTAAACATCTCTGGCAGGTCACTTTGTCAGGAGGTGTTGCTGTTAAAATATGAGGCAACTATTTATCATTCTGGCCCCTTCTCTAGCAGGGTATCAGATGTACTTTTCAATATTAACATTTTGAAGTCTGAGATTGTTGTTTCCATCCTCTACAGTGCAGTATTGGACACCTAACAGAGCCCTGGGCATCTCTAAAGCTGCTTCTAGAAGGATGTTGGCTTTGCCTGTAACATCCCTGGCTGCATCCTGGAGAGGAGACAGAAGTTCTCCATTTAATCAGAACTAGCCCGATTTCTCACCTATAAAGATAAAGGCAAATCCTTTAAGAAGATGTGATATATAAGCATAGAGGTATACTACTCGGCGATTAATATGCACTCTTGTCATTTGGAAGGATCTGGAAGGGATCATGATGAGTGAAACAATTCAGAAGGAGAAAGACAATGGATGTTTTCACTCTTATATTGAATATTAAGAAACAAAACAAAGGGTCAGTCAAACCAAACCAATAACAAACCTTAGAAAACTGTTGGTAAAATTAAGCTACCAGAGGGGTGTTGGAGAGAAAGAGGAGAACAATGTGTTGGGGGGACCCAATGGACTATGTTGGGGAACTATGGATGCCTTAGTGGTGGACATGTCTAGTGACATATATCTGAAGAAGTGTGATCCTATATCTCTGAACCACAAAAGGTGCTTTAAAATAATATTACCTCAAAAAATTATTAAAATGTTAAATCAAGCAAAATAAAGTGTAATCCCTGCATATCTAGTACCCAAAGCCAGCATATCCAGTGTCCCAACCTCTTATCCATGAATTTAGTTGTGTTACTTGGGTCCTCATGGTCAGTAGTCCCACTGAAAGTTGTGAAAAATCAAGGAAGATGACTTCAGGGACATGCACCTGCACTTCATGCTCAGTGTCTGGTTGTGGATTATTCCAGTGACCAGAGCCCAAGGTGACTGCATCTTCTTGAATTTGCCACTTGCTCTTCACTCCCCAGTGTGCGATCTTCCCTACAACCTTATGTACTCACCTTTATTTATCCCCACATTGACTCACACACAGAGAACTTGTGTTCTTTTTTTTAAATAAAATTTAGGTGAAAGATACTTAGAGCTCGCCAAAAAGAAAATACATCCTGATAAGCTTATTTTTGCAAATGAAAACATTATAATGCAATATTATAAAAAGTAGGGCCTCCCCGGTGGCGCAGCCGTTGAGCACTGGGCTGCGAAGCTGCCCGCAACCTCTACAGCACTGGTTCGATCCCCTGGCTGCCAGCAAGGGTCTCACATGGCACGCAGGGTCTCCTGCCGCCCGCTGCTCCCCTCAGCAGTGTGTTTCATCGGTTCGTCTGTTCTGCTCCTCGCTCTGGCTCTGGTGAATTCTTTCACCCTCCCGTGCTTCTGACTGTATCCAGTGCTTTTATAAATAAATAAATCTTTAAAAATATATATATATAATTA